GCAGAAGCACAGCAGGTGGCTGTGGAAGCAATGCGACCTGACTTACTTGGTAAATGGCTCCTTGATGCACAAAGAATGTTTAACATAAGAGGTGGTTGTATTGAATTACAATTCTTTACCTATTGTAGTTGGCTCTCTGTTGTTAGCCAGTATTTCAAATTGAAGATGTCATTAGTAGCCCAGGCTTTAATAATACATGACTCCAAGAGAACTGATAGAACTGATACTTCCCTGGATTTGGCGTTGATGGAATAAAATTAGTGTTGTAATAATTGCAAATTTGTTCAATTCTTTGTATTGTTCACAATAACTGGTTGGTATGAATGTAAGTTCATTGTTTTAAGAGCAGAGAATAACTTTAAATGAAATTTATAGAGGAAAAGACTAAGTGGATTTAATGAGATTATGGGAATTAGAAGAGCTATTATCTTAAGAGCAACTTAAGACTAAGATTGTCTAAGCAACTGTCTTAGATTGTGAAGCCAATGAGCAATCATTTTTGCATGGATCATGATGATTTGAAAGATTTAAATAAAGTATTGGAATGTTTTATTAAGTTCATTTAGTTTTAAGAATCCCAATTGTAGCAGTGTAGAACAAATACTTGTAAATAATAACTGGGGGCTTTAATTACACCATTACTTCAAAAATGTAATTTAAATCAATAACACCTAGCCCAGGACAGTAATGAATAATTCTGCCCTTCCCACAGTCTATTACTTGTACGGCTTGGAGGGACAAACACACATACAAGAAATAGCTGTCTCGTCTGGTTTTGCATTTGCGCAGTCAGAGGAAGAAGTGTAAGAGAGGTGGAAAATTTTAATTTTAAAGTGTAAAAACATGGTCCATTTTTTGTTGTGAACATCAAAGACATCAGTAATAATTGATCTAAAGGGCAGTAAATGGTAATCAAGAAAACTGTTGTTTGAAAGAAAAGGAGAAATTTAGAAGTGCAGTTTTCCAGGATCATATTTCAACAAAGTGTTCACAATGTTGTTTCAATCATAAATTTTCTTTTTCTTGAACAAACCACATTTAATTTATTAGTTTCAGTACAATCACTGAATTTTATGAAATATTTGTTGTTATTGTGTTGCAGAACAGGTGAAGCAGGGCATTGAGGACCACTTTGAACAAATGCAATCTGAAGTTGCCAACCACAGGACTACTTACGAGGCCCATCTCAAGCGCCTGAGAATCGTTAGGACAGAGAAGCTCAACCAGCCAGAAGGTAAATTGGACAGGGTGCAGTGTGTTGGTTTTTTAGTCGAGCTGCTCTCTTGTAAACGGGTTCAACCATTTAGTTCACTGGTATTCATATAGGATAAACAAAAGTGTAGGACATATAATTGGGTTCCATGCTTAGTGCAGCAAAACATGTTGGGATGATATTGAATTTTTAAATTACCTAGTAGAAAGTTTTTAAATCCAAGCTGAATCTGTTTACATTAAATAACATAAATTACATTACATCTACATCTGTTTACATTGACCCTGATAGGACAGGCACTAAACGTGCAATGTTTTTGCTTGACATGGATGCACTCTTAACAAATACCCTTTCGCGGGCCACAGTAAATGGCACCATGGGCTACATGCGTCACACGGGCTGCCAGTTGGACAACCCTGATCTATATATAAATAAGGGGAATGTGCGTATGTGTCGCGCATAGACGCAAAAACTACTTTACTAATGAAATTTTTGTACTTTGTTCTTGGTAATAGTAATAGAAGTGATTAAACAGTGGTTTGAATTAAATCTGACAAGTAGAGGTGTTGTTGATGACTTATTTGTTTATGACGACTCAAGTGCCTCTGAACTCTATGCAATCCACCGCATAGTAAAGGATTAAGTTTGTCTTCACTGCTTGCAAGTGTTGCCCTTCACTGCATGCTGCCCTTGCGATTGTGAAAAATCAGTTGGAATTGTCAATTGAATCCTGGTCAAGTTAATCAAATTTCTCCAAGATACAAGGGAGTTCAAATATGACCAGGACTGATTTTTTTTATGAAATAGTTTATTAGCAAAAATTTATTTGTACATGTCATTCTTCAAAGTAC